ATAAAGGTGCAAATTTCCAATGATGAATGCCATTATATTGTATACCTAAAATGTACCAATGATTAGAATGAATAATTGATAATGCAAAATAGGAAGAAAAGGTCCAAAGGGGTAGGGGTAGTGAGAAGGGCAGAGGAAAGGAAAGAAGGGAAAGGAAAAATGATGAGAAATGGAAAAAATGGAAATAAAGTCTTTGTAAATAGGGAAGGGAGGGGTGGGAATGGGGAAAAAAAAAGAACCAAGATGCATCATGTAAAGGTACAAGTTCCTAGTGAGAAATGTAAATGTGTTGTATACCTAAAATGTACCAATAAAAGAATTTAAGGAAAAAAAAAAAAAGAAAACCTGTGCTCCAATAATGGAAAACACAGTAGAAGTGGACAGATTCCTAGATAGATATGAATTACCAAAGCTGAATGAAGATACAAAAATTCTAAACACCCCAATTTCAATCAGTGAAACAAAATGTAATAAAAAATTTACCAACAAAGAAAAGCCCAGGTCCTGATGGCTTCACTGCAGAATTCTACAAGAAATGTAGGAAAGAGCTAATGTCACTACTTCTCAAACTCTTTGAAGAAATTGAAAGGGAAGCAATATTCCAAATTCATTCCTGGAAGCAAGTGTTACTTTGATTCCGAAAGCTGAGAAAGACCCAACCAAAAAAGAGAACTACAAGCCAATATCCCTATTGAACACAGAAACAAAAATCCTCAGTAAGATACTGGCAAACAGAATACAGAGGATCATCAAGATCACATACCCTGACCAAGTGGAATTCATCCCAGGGATGCAAGGATGGTTCAACATACGTAAATCAACAAATGTAGTACAGTATATTAACAGACTCGAGGACAAAAACCGTATGATCATCTCAGTAGATGCAAAAGAAGTGTTCAACAAAATCCAACACCCATTCATGATAAAAACCCTACAGAAAACTGGAATAGATGGTCTTTATCTCAATCGGATAAAGGTGATCTACGAAAAACCAACAGCCAACATCATACTAAATGGTCACAAACTAAAAGCTTTTACCCTAAAATTGGGAACAAAACAAGTATGTCCACTATCACCACTCCTGTTCAATATAGTTCTGAAAATACTAGCCACAACAATTAGACAAGAAAAAGAAGCAAAAGGAATAAAGATAGGAAAGAAGAAGTTAAACTGTCATTATTTGCTGATGACATGATACTCTACATAGAAGACCCAAAAACCTCTGCTAAAAATCTTCTAGACTTAACTGACAGATTCAGTAAGTAGCTGGATACAAGGTCAACACTCATAAATCAATAGCCTTCTTGTACACAAATAACAGGCTCCCTGAGAGAAACTGAGGAAACAATTCCTTTCACAATAGCATCCAAAAAATGAAGTATCTGGGACTCAATCTAATGAAGGAAGTGAAAGACCTCTACCTTGAAAACTACAGCACTCTAAAATAAAGAGATTGAAGAGGATATCAGAGAATGGAAAGACATCCCTTGCTCCTGGGTAGGAAGAGCGAATACAGTGAAAATGGCCATACTTCCAAAACTGCTACATAGATTCAATGCAATCCCAATTGAAATCCCAGCAGCATACTTCATGGACCTTGGGAAAACAATCCAAAAATTCATTTGGAACAAGAAGAGACCTAGAATAGCAAAAGCAATTCTAGGCCACAGAGACATGGCAGGGAGTATCACAACTCCCAACTTGAAACTATACTACAAAGCCACTGTGATAAAAACAGCATGGTACTGGCAAAGAAACAGACCTGAGGACCAGTGGAAAAGATTAGAAGATGCAGAAACAACTCCAAACACACTCAGCCACCTCATCATTAACAAAGAAGCCAACCATCCTCACTGGAGGAAAAATAGCTTCTTTAATAAATGGTGCTGGAAAAAATGGATTTCAACCTGCCACAGATTAAAACCAGACCCATATCTTTCACCATGCACTAAATTAAAATTGAAGTGGGTCAAAGATCTAAATATTAAAACAGAAACACTAAACTTGCTGGAAGATAGGTTAGGTAGAACTCTTGAAGATACTAGCATAGGAAAAGACTTTGGGAACTAGTACAGAAAATCAACAACTGGGATCTCATCCTAGTAAAAAGCTTCTGCACGGCAAGAGAAACCACCAACAGAGCTAAGAGACAACCCACAATGTGGGAAAAAATTTTTAGCAGCTGTTCCTCAGACAAAGGACTACTATCTAGAATATATGAAGAACTTTAAAAAAATCAGACCTCCCCCCAAATTTAAAGACTCAATTAAAAAATGGGCATCTGAAATGAACAGACATTTTTCAGACAAACAAGTGAAAGCTGCAAATAAACATGAAAAAATGTTCAACATCACTGGTCATTTGAGAGATGCAAATGAAAACAACACCGAGATTCCACCTCACCCCAGAAAGAATGGCTGCTATCAAGAAA